TATGTTGGCTATTGTTTGAACACGTGTTGTGTGACCTTGGGTTTGTTTTAATGTGCGTACATTTACAGACAGTTGCTATAATGTATTCTAAGAACCCATGGGTTATCATATGCAAACATCTTATCCTTAGTAATGTTTATGTTATTGGCTCTTGAATCATATTGTTTTGCATGACAATGCATTTTAAGTATGTATCTGCCTATGTACATATGTTCAACATATTATATTTGAACATAGATATTTAATACTAGTGGACTGTATAATTTTATATATTTAGAATTACAAGTAAAATTATTTCTTTTTTTACTAAAACACTTTATTTTAATATTTGTATAAAAAATATTTTATTTATTTTGTTTAATAAAGATTAAGTGAAGAAAAATTGATTGAACGATTTTTAAAGGATGCTTAGAAAGCGAGGTGACAACTCCTAATGAATTCTAGAATAACGCTAACATAAACGGCACCGCTGTACGGGGCTGCTTAATGCTGAAATAGATTGCTTAAACTGTGCAGAATAGAATGCTGAATTAAAGTCTCAAATTAAACATTAGGATATGTCACTTACATATTAATTATCTACAATTACGGTACAAATTAAATTGTATCAAAATTGAGCAAATAATCTATATTTTATTACTAGCTGACCCCGCATCCGTTGTCCTGCTTGAAATAATGTGTTTTGAAATGAAAAGAAAGTTAGATTTATCATTTCATTTGTTTTTTTTGGTTTCAATGTAACGAAGCTTGATAAACAACATTTTTTGGTTTCTGTTCCGATGGCCAGAAAAGATGGGTTTCCAACTCGTGAGCACGCCACGTATATCTGACCTTGTTAAAAATTTAGCATTTCCATATTTAGCATTAGATAGCTGCATCACAACCAGTCTGGTTCCATTATACAGTTTCGGCGCATGAAAATAGCGAAACATAATAGCGACAGATCCGACTTTGAGACGCAAATAATACGGTGGCATCCCAAGCCTCCATAAAGAATTTAGAAATTCCCCTGCATAATTCACGGCGATCGATCGCAAGTCTCCCGGCTCATTGCGAAAAGTGTGCGAACTTCAATCAATCGCATCGTCTATCATTTGAGTCCAGTGATTATCATGTTCCAGCAATTGTGACCATTAACACTACGCAATGACTCTAATAAAGTTGAACGGCGTACATTAATCAATAGTAACCGAAGGTCGAAACAATCGGCGTTTTTCGAGTAGATTATGTAAATTCGTCCTAATTGTGAACACACCTAGATGTCCATCTCCTGGTTGGCCTTGCTTTCTATGTAACTATTTCTTCGACGATGCATTCTATGTATAATATCAAAGTATTTCCGAATGGAACAATGTTCTCGGAAACGAATCACTGCCGAAAGTTGAGAAAAAACTCGTCAATGTAAATTTTTTGTATTGCAATTTTCCACTGTACAGTATTCCCTGGGTTGAAATACACTTTTTGATATTTCCTGATCTCATCTCGTTCAAGGCCAATAACCGTCATGTTGCTTTCTTTGGCGATGGACTGCGAACTGCAATACTCAACATTTATATGAGTTTTGAATGTGAATTAGACATTAGTGGTGAATATACATAGTACGATCCATGTGTTCTCAACTTTGATATTCACACTTCTAAATTGAATGCTGAATGTTCTCACATTGGCGTCTGGTGAGCGACGCCGATAAAGTGGATATCCATCATTTCCAGTTTGTGTTTCCGAAAGAAAAACACGTGGACAGTGTTTCCTGCAACCCATATTGATTTTCCCAGAAATGAGTTCATCAACTTGATCTGGTATAACCACCATCCACCATCCATAGAAGGATGTGTACGTGCGGCAAACCTCTCTTTTCCCACTCAACAGAGTACATCTAGCATTTAACAGCACCACATAAATATTGCTTTTAGATAAAGTCCATCAAATAAAGTAATTTTTGTTTGAAAAGTCGTGCTGTGACATCGTGACGATGGCTTGCTGATTCTCCGCAATGCATAATTCCGCACGTATGTCGTCGCATCCTGGGAGTTCGTCTTGCCTTGTCTTGGGCTGCCATACGTTGACGGCAAAAAGAACGCCGACCGATATTAGGGCGACCTCTTCGTGGCTTCGTAACAAATTTCAATCTGTAATTGATCATTTTATGTGAAATACACATAAAGTTTTCATTGAATAATTTTCAATAATTTTTCTTTTGAATAACGAAATTAAACGATTCAAATAATTTACAAATCAAGATATTGAAAAACAAAAAACAAAAGCAAAAATATTTGAATGGAAAAAAGTTACTAACTAGTTGGTAACTGTGGAGTATCTCTTAAAAACTGTTTATTTTAATTTACATTAATCACTAAAGGAAATTGACCACGTGGAAATCCAGTTGACGATTGTAGTCGATTCTTATCTTGTTTTTGTCAAGTAGAAATGTCTCTTTCCTTCAATGACCTTAATTTATTTATTCTTAATCTTAAAATCTAATATTTTYGTACGTTTTTTTGTTTTTTATTAGAGAGTGGTCAGAAAAACCAGTAAGTTTTTGGCACTTTTTTTAAGTAAACTTTTGAACCAATGTTCTTCAAAAGAAATGATTCGAAATATTGTACAAGTCGAACCGAGAAAAAAGTTGACTTTGAGCATGTTTCTACAAAACCCAAACATATATTTTTAAAATAAAAAAAATATCAAAACAAAACAAATAAAAATATAAAAAAACGACAAAAACAACAAACCTATTGAAACTCTAAGAATAGAAACAATAATAGTAAAAGTAACAAGAATAACAACAAAAACAACAAAAGCCGCACAAAGAGCAGTCCAGAAGCATATTTGATCAATAAATTGAATACAGAAGGCTATTACAAGTGCAAGCATATCTTCTGGGACGCAACTATGCGCAACGTAAATTTTTCTAAAATAACTTTTACTTGTTAGGGCTTTTAAATGATGCATAACTTGAGTAACCACGTGAGCTTAGTTTATTTCATGGTTAGCTTTGTAAATATTTATAATCACGGTACATAAACAACATTTAATTACAAAATGTTGACGCCTTTTTCTGCTAATTTATTTTTTTCCCCAGTTATTAAGTTCGTGGTTTCACTACATAAGCACATTTAAGTATTTGACACTTATTTTTTTGCTTAGTGATGTAGAATTTTGCAAGCATACTCGATATTGAGCAAGCATACTCGATTTTGTTTTTTATTTGATCCGACGAAGTCTTAAAAACGAAAACGCACCACGTTTCAATTAACACAAGGAATGGTTCGACGTCGAGAAGCTGAAATCGCAACAAACAGTGCTGACTTGCACTCCTACGTTCTGAGAACACTCGCCAACCAGAGAACTTAAAGCATAGAGAAGATGCATGTTCGATAGCGAGCATTTGTTAGATTTATAATAGAGAATTCACCTTACAACCACAGAATTCACGCTGTGAAATGTTAACATTTTTAAYAGTTCTCCACATACTCAAACAGAGAATATTAAGAGAAATAAATATATGTACATATATATTTTCGGCATTTGATGACTTGGGATGTATGCCCAAGCAGAGAATATGAAGAGACATAAATATGTGTGCATGCTCCTTATGATACACCCAACAACAGTACTGTGATATTTTCATGCTTTTTGCTTTCAACTAGCAAATCGCAATGTATGCAAATATGAATGCTTTTGCGTTTTGCCGTCGGCATTTCCATATTGGCATGTAAAAATAATTATAATATGAGTATAATTTTGTATGAATGCATGCATAGTAATATTTACAGTCAATTATCACTTGCATATTTAATAATTTTATTTGATTTTTACATAATATGCTGTAATATACAATTAAATATTTTTGTATTATATTTCTTACTAATAGAAATTTAATTTATCACGACAATATATAAATACATCGTTATCATATTAATCTTATTATCTGCTCATATGAATGCATGTATACGCATGTGCGCGTTCAGAAATTCAAATCATGATTTTATCACTTATCATTATATTACATGTGCGCGAGTTATGTTTGTAAAGATGGAAGCAAGTTACATTATCCAAATTAAATGTTAACTAGAGAGTATGAACTCTGTTTTACGGCTGTTTTATTAAAATTAAGCTTAAGTCTGCTTAATCCACATTTAATACTATACCTACTATTGTTTACATTAAAAAATGCTGATTTAATACTGATACAGGAAAAAAAAGATTACTTTTTACAATTTTTTTACGATTGATTTTTTATTTCAAGTTTACAATCATTAAAATTTATTATATAATTTTTTTGAAGTGTACATTTTCGTTTATCGCAGTTTTGGACCATTTCATTGTTATTGGCATTTTTAACTAGCAGAGTATCACCAGACAACTCTTGCACGTACATTAAATTATTATATTTAAATGTACAATTATCATTAAAAATACAATTTACAATTAATTTGAATTTTCTTAACAATGTATTAGCTTTATATTGATCATGTTTAGATTCTAACGTTATTATTTCCTCATCTATTTGAAAAATTTCTAAATTATTAATATTTGGCAATGGTGTAATTAATTTTAAATCTGTATTTGGTATTTGAATAGCGAATCCAAGTGCTTCATTTTCGAAAGTTACTACTCCTACTTTGGCTAGTTTAAGCTTATAGAAATCTATGTCAAAGCTATCTATTTCCTCTTTAGTTAACATCCCCGGATGTATTAGATTATTTTTGGCTATATTGTTTTGAATTTCATGTATATTTCCTTCAGCATGTCTAAATTTATTCATTTGATCATTGTAAAGAACCAATTTTGCTAGCTGTCTATCCCCCTTTTGAATCTGATTTAATTCCAGAGCCGGAACTAGCTGCTTCAGCGMCTGTGGCAACAACCTTGCTTGCGCCCTTACCATATAGTATAATGGAAACCGATGTTGTCCAAATCAAAAATTATATATTTACAAGTGAAAGAACGTACATCTTATTTTCAATAATAATTTATACAAGGATCGCTTATATCGTTCAGAATAATATCGCCTCTGCAAATAAATCGATTATTTTATCGAAATTGAGACGTGTTGTAGTATTCTTCTCAATCGACAAAATAGAGATATTCGCCAACCGTTCCTGGCCTAAAGAGGAACGAAGATAAGATTTGATGAGTTTTAGCTTACTAAACGAACGCTCGCAAGTAGCCGTCGTAACAGGCATGCATAAGAATATTCTCAGTGCTGTTGTTATGTTCGGATATACATCCACGAGCGACAGATCGAATATTTTTTCTAATCCATTCAAATGGTTCATGTCTGTGGCTTCACTCATCAGCGTCGTTGCTTGAAATTTGAAACTCTCAATTTCTGATGAAAATTCATGCGGATCCAAGTYATCAGGATATTTGATAGCGAGATCTGCCGCTATTTTGGTGAGTTCAGTAACACTGGTGTTCACAATTGCTTGACCGCTCAAAAATGCGAAATCATCGGCAACTTCATTTAAAGCGATGAACCGGGTATTCATTTGGGCAATCATAAGATCAAGAACTTGGATCAATCTTGCTTTGAAATGAGTTTGGGCACTTATAGATGCAGATTCATCTTTCGCTTTTTCTCCCGGCATCATTTTCTTTGGTCGTTTTCGAGTATCTTGGAAATCTGGTGTTACTTGCAATTGTTCAGCTGTCACAATTGATGATTGCAAAATTGTTGTGAAGAAAGTCTCTCGGTATATGGTTAATTGTGACAACAATCCTTTTATCATTTATGCGGCACGAGCAATATCGAGTTTTTTGTCTTGCAGTGCGAGGTTGACACGATTGATTTGCGATAGAAGCGAATCCCAAAACTTCAGTAGTACTATGAATTCGAAGGTTTGTATCGACTTGAGAAGAGACTTGGCTTGTACTATTGTATCGCCTGTCTGATGATCACCTTCTGTCATTTTTTTTAGTATTTCCACAACAGTAGGCAGTTGAGAGTTCAGGGCGTGCACGGCATTAGCTTTTGACGACCACCGTGTGTCACAGGTTCCTTTCAACGTTATTTTTAGTTCTGCTTGCAAAAATTTCCAACAAGCTGCCGATCCAACAAAAAAATTGTACGTTTGTTGGATGATACCAAAACAAGTTTGCATTTGTGGTATCACGTTGGCAGCATTGACCCCAATCAAATTTGAGTATGAGCTATGAGTAGTACATGGAATAAACCGAGCATTCACGTTCAAAGCTAATATTCTCGACTGCACACCTTTATATTTGCCTGCCATATTAGCTCCGTTGTCATAAGACTGYCYTCRTACATTTGCAATGTCTAGCCCATCTTTTCTTAATTTATCAAGAATTTCTCCCGAAAGACCTTCACCGGTTTTTTCTTCGGTGTTAATAAACGTGATGAAGCTTTCTTCAATTGTACATTTCTTGTTTTCGATTTTAACGTACCGAATTATTTGAACCATCTGTTCTTTGTGAGAAATGTCGGTCGTACAATCGAAGAGGATTAAGAAATATGTAGCTGCTTTTATGTCGCTAATTATAWGTGATTGCACTTGCTGGGCAGCCAAATTGATCAATTCGTTTTGAATCGCCGGTGAAAAGTATGAGATTGTGCCTTTATTGTGTGTCTCGATATGTTTTTTTTATTGTGGCATCATAGTGGCTAATCAATTCAATAGTGTTCAAAAACTTTCCACAGTCTGGTCACCCAATTACTTCACTGCTACCTCTAAGGGCGTCATTGTTTTTGACGCAGTGGAAAATTGCATCGAGTATCACTTTTAAAATATGTCGCCACTTTGCTCTTTCCTTATCAAATTCTTTGAGAAGATGGTCATCGATGAAACCGCCACATTTCAACTTCTTCTCAAATGTTTTCATTTTTATATAATTGGATCTATGAGACGTCGAGTTTTCGTGTCTCGGTAAATGGGGATTGAGATGTTGCCAGTCGTTGAAGCCGTTCAACCAAATGCTGCTCCTGTCATCGTTGAAGAGGATACACGGAAAACGAAACAGAGAGTCAAGCTGTTCACAGTAGATCAACCAGTTCCTGTGTACTTTCTCACCATTTGTCATAGTTCGAGTAAACCATTTTTTCTCAAAACGTCTATTATTTGTAACTGGGTACACGGAAATATCGTCACCATTGATAGGACCCTGTTCGATATATAATTTGATGGAATTTTTATCAATTTTCCATGTTTTGGGAATACTGAAATTGATTTCAATCGAATCTTCTTCTTGTCCCACTCTGTGCTGATTTGAGGAATCCGTCTCAGAAAGCGTATCGTTGCATTCCACTTCCATGTTTTGTTCTCTATTCAATTCATCATTTTCGTCTTCTGATTGTGATTGTGCAGTCTGCGTTGATGGTAATTCCCTCGTGAAGAATTGCTAGATATTACCACTATTTTTTACTGCTGCAGCCTTTTTCTCTTCGCGAATCTGCTTGAATTGAGCACCCGACAATTTCTTCTTTGGTGGCATCTCTATAAAAAAGTAAATATTTATAAAAAATAATTGTTCAAAATACAGTTGAGAAAATTTTAATAACTATGTATGTTTTATTAGTTACAGTAGGTATACTCACTCGCAATTTTCTTCCGTTAAGTATCCAAATGTTTCCTGGCAGTACTAATATGGTATGGTGATGAATCCACTGCAATACTTATCAGACTAGAAATTCAATCTTGAGATCTAGAGTAAAATGAAAAATAGAACTTGAAAAAAGGCGGTGAAACGAGTAAAAAATACATAAATCAAGGAAAAAAGTAGAAAGAATGCGAGGGGTAGGGTTCGAATCCACGACCTCTGGACCCGTAAGCAAGCGCTTTGAAATTACACCATGCGGCTTGTGACGCAAGTGTGGGGAGCGGAGATCAATCGTGCGCCGCGCACTTTCCACTCACGTTCGCTCGGCTATGACTCGAGCGGCTCCGAGCCGAGCCGGAAGAACATACCGTATATTAGGAATCAACCCAGTGTTTCTAAAGAATTGCATTTACATTTTGCAATCTCTCCGTCACTAGTCATCTGTGCTCGACCTGAGTGAGTTGCGCTTTGACCGGAAATACTACCAATTTTTGTTTTTCAAATGGCACCTACATATTTTTTCCTTGATTTTAGAATAGGAACAAATTATCCTATACAATAACGTAAAACGACTAATTGCAAGTTTCCATGGATATTATAAATAGGAATCTTGATGTGTAGTTGATATTGCTAGATTAGGATACAATTTTCAAATACTATTTTCTTGGAATTTATGCACATTGTATATTATTCTAGAGGGTAATGAATGTTTATTCCAAAACTGAAGAAAAAACATGTATGTGTCGTTTGAAAGACAAAAATTGATAGTATTTCCGAAAATCAGAAAGCACCTTCCGATAGTTCTCATTGTCTATGGAAAACAAAATCTACAATTTGCACAATTTTACATCATTGCATCATATGTTATTGAAAAAAGCATGCGTTTTGTCACCTGGATCACAGATGAACACAGATTGTGGCTGACTGGCCTATAGCACAACACACGGCACGGCCGGCAGTGGGCACAGAAACAGGACTGACAGACTCGCACTAACAGCGTGGCGCCCCCGATATCTGGAATAGCACGTCCACGGGTGCCCTTGCTTTGTGCGCGCCTCGCGATGATTACATTCGCACTGGCACGTCTGGTACTGCCGCATTGCTGCCCACTGCACTGGCTCTGGCGCTGCAGTTTTTTCGGTCCGTTCGCGCCCTATGTCTCTTGTTTCGCCCCCCCGTGGGTGACTCGCCAGTTTCAGACGGTAGCTCTTTTGGACGCTCAGCAACCGATATTTCGTCAGGCGTATGCGCCCGCGGCGGGTGCCACCTTCGCCACGCCCTAGTTACGGCTCTGTTTAATTCTTTTAAATTTTACTCCTGTCATTTTTTACTATTTGTTGTATCAGTGCACTCACCTTTTATTTCCTTTTTTTCACTTCTCCAAAAAAGCAATAAATACCGAAAAAAAGGTTTGTCTCTCGTTGTGGATGGTTGTACCAATAGAGGTTTTATTTAAAACAATTGAAAATACAGCACAGAAACAGGACTGACAGACTCGCACTAACAGCGTGGCGCCCCCGATATCTGGAATAGCACGTCCACGGGTGCCCTTGCTTTGTGCGCGCCTCGCGATGATTACATTCGCACTGGCACGTCTGGTACTGCCGCATTGCTGCCCACTGCACTGGCTCTGGCGCTGCAGTTTTTTCGGTCCGTTCGCGCCCTATGTCTCTTGTTTCGCCCCCCCGTGGGTGACTCGCCAGTTTCAGACGGTAGCTCTTTTGGACGCTCAGCAACCGATATTTCGTCAGGCGTATGCGCCCGCGGCGGGTGCCACCTTCGCCACGCCCTAGTTACGGCTCTGTTTAATTCTTTTAAATTTTACTCCTGTCATTTTTTACTATTTGTTGTATCAGTGCACTCACCTTTTATTTCCTTTTTTTCACTTCTCCAAAAAAGCAATAAATACCGAAAAAAAGGTTTGTCTCTCGTTGTGGATGGTTGTACCAATAGAGGTTTTATTTAAAACAATTGAAAATACTTGTAAATACACGTTTTTAGAGGTGAGACTAACTCTTTAATAACGCTGTTGGTTTCGCAAGAGGATGGCGGTGGATAAAAGCGAGATTGGCAAACGCATGACCGATCGATGATAGTTCCGATGATCTTTTAATCGGTCCTTCTTTAACTCCGTTGGTGCTGAATGGGATGGTGTGACTGTGGTTGGTGTACGTGTGTGTAGGTGTCGGTGTGTGCTGCTCTCGTGAGTAGTGTAGAAGTTGGGTTGTAAGCGTAATGTGTTGAATGTGGCGAAGGTTGCCTGGCAGTGGTGTGAGTTTGAGTAGATGTGGTGTGCTAATGTGGTGTGTGTGTTGAGGTCGGGGGACGATGCTCATTTATACATCCTGGTCCCCCCCAGCCGAGTAATTAGCCTAGTAGTCTCTGAAGCCGTTGTAATGTTGCTACCACGTTGCTGAGGCCTGTTGAACGGCGCGGTTGCGGCCTAAGCTGGCGCCTCCAGTTCAGTGTAGGATTGCGGTGACGCTAGGAACGTGAGTCTTCCGTAGGGTATGCCGATGCCATTACGGCTGCGAGGAGCATCACGATGCCCGGCGTCGAGTATGGCGGTGCGGTGCAGTAGGGTATGGTGGTGCCACATGCATATCTGGCACTGGTAGCCCGTTGTGCACTCTTGCGTAAGATGGGTGAGCGCCAGACAATTTAGGCAATGTCCATGTGCCTGAGCGACCTGCTGCCGTTGCTGAGGGGTTATCCCCTTGAAGATGCCACAGTGTGGTAACCGATGACGACGGCGACATAGAGCGCATTCGAGTTATGGTTATTGTTGTTCGCGGCGTTGCTACTGGGGTAGCCTTCGAGYGCGGAACAGTAACGGCAGAACGGACTGTGGGCGTAGGGGCAGCTGWCATCTCGGCATCCATATTGATCTGTTAAAAAATTTTATTGTAATTAACATATACATATATATTCATATGGGCATTGGTGCCACGGAATGTGGCACGAGTGAGTCGTCATGTGGATCGACTCCCTTTACTTATTTTTTGTTGTCTTTTGGCTAATGGAGGCTTTTATTCTTATTTATTTTCGTTTCTTTGTTTATTAGTTACGGTTACGTTATTTTCGGTTACTTTTCGATTTTATCGGCGGTTGGCAAAAATCATAGCTTAACGAGCGGCCTGGTTAGTGTTCCCGTTTGTGTACGGAGATCGACTACTCGAATATGACCGTCGGATTCGTAATGGAGCTTCTCTATGCGGCTAAGCCGCCATTCGGTAAGGGGGAGACAATCGTCATTGATTAAGACACAATCTTCAAGCTTAGGTGCATTTTCTATGATTTTCCATCGGTACCTTCTGTGGAGGTCCTTTGAATAATCATCTTTAAATCGGCGACTGAAGTCATGATGGAGAATTTTAATTCTTTCCCAACGGTTTAATAAGGAAAGCGACTCCACGTCTGGCTCAGGTGTGGCCAGAAAGGGCGCTCCTTTAAGAAAATTCCCTGGCGTGAGGGCAGTAAAGTCTGAAGGATCTTGCGAGAGTGCAGCGTTAGGCTGTGAGCTAAGAACGGCTTCAATTCTAGTTAAGGGCGTTATGAATTCTTCATAATTGAATTTGTGGTTACCAGCTATCTTTTAAAATGAGATTTGAAGCTTTTTACAGCGTAGACACGGTGGGAGACCTTAGCATGGACACCTTTATTTGAAAAGGCCCGGCAAAATCTACACCAGTAGTGGTGAAAGGCAGAGCAAAATTGCAGCGTTCAGGTGGAAGTGCTGCCATAATCTGCGATCGTATTTGCTGCTTATGCATAGTGCAGATTTTACACATGAAAATGCACTTCTTTATTTGGGGCTTCAGTCGTCGTATGTACAGCTCTTGGCGAACCATATGTTGCATGAAACGATGTTCGGCGTGGATATTTAGTAGGTGGATATATCTAATAAATAAAGTGGCACGGACACCTCTCTGGTATGATTATAGGGTGGCGTTCATTATACGTCAGGCTTGAATTAGCAAGCCGACCATTCGCACGAAGTAGGCCTCTCGTGTCTAGAAATGGGTTTAGAACTAAGAATGAGCTCTTTTTATCAGTAGGCTTCGATTCTCTTAGTAATGCTATATCGCGGCTGAAGTAGCGCGTTTGGGTGGATGCGATAAGAGCGACCTTTGCTTTTTGTAAGTCTTGGTGCGTCAATGCTCCGGGGAACGATGAAAATCGCTCAAGGATGTCGGTGTCATCCAGTGTTGCATGATAAGTGTCGAWTTTTCGACTTTCTGGGGCAAGTATGTTGCGCATGGGCGATTGTGGCCAAGAATCGGGAGATTCTGTTAACCATCGGGGGCCATTCCACCAGAGGATGGAGGAGACAAGACGCAAAGGTTTGCATCCTCTTGAACCTGCATCAGCAGGATTGTCAGCACGTGCTTCGTGTCTCCAAGTGGTTGATCCTACTAGGTTAAGTATTTCAGACGTTCGGTTAGAAATATATTTTTTCCACGCATGTGGTAGTTTTTCTAACCAGGCTAGGACTATCTCGAAATCGGACCATAAATATAATGTGTATTTCGCCATGTTTAAGTGCGTCTGCACCATTGAAGCTAGTTTTGCTAGTAGCAGAGCGACATAGAGCTCAAGTCGTTTTTAGAGGCGCAACTTTTGTTTTTGCCGCTAGTAGGTGGCTTGCAGTTGCGACATCGCTTTATGTACGCACATATATAGTGGCACAATATGCCTTTTCAGAGGCGACGCAGAAGTCGTGTAGTTCCACTTTGTATCCGGGGGAATAGTTTACCCACCGTGAAATTTTTATCTGCGAAATGTCTTTTAGGTTATTAGTAAACTGGGACCATTTTCTAGGCGAAGAGACTTCACTTGTTCGTCCCAGTCCGTTCCGTCTAGCTATAATTCTTCCATCAGGATTTTCGCTTGTA